GGATTTGGGATCATTAGGGGTTCCAGAGGATCCCAAAGTGTCCAAATCCGAGGATTTGGGATCATTAGGGGTTCCAGAGGATCCCAAAGTACCCAAATCCAGGATTTGGGATCATTAGGGGCTCCAGAGGATCCCAAAGTGCCCAAATCCCGGGTTTTTCCCTCATTGGGATCCTTTAGGAGATCCCAAAGTCCCCAGATCCCGGGATTTTGGATCATTAGGGGCTCCAGAGGATCCCAAAGTGCCCCAATCCCGGGATTTTGGATCATTGGGATCCCTCAGGAGATCCCAAAGTGCCCAAATCCCAGGATTTTTGATCATTGGGATCCCTCAGGAGATCCCAAAGTGCCCAAATCCCGGGATTTTCCTTCATTGAGATCCTTCAGGAGATCCCAAAGTGCCCAAATCCCAGGATTTGGGATCATTGGGATCCCTCAGGAGATCCCAAAGTGCCCAAATCCCGGGATTTTTCCCTCATTTTTGGCCTCCATTCCCATCTCCTTGGAATTCCCATTCCAGAGGCCGGGAACGGGGCACAATTCCCTCCCCATCCCACCAAACCCAGGCCGGGCTTTTTCCGGGAGGGGATGAAGGAGGAAATCCCGAATTTTCCATGGATTCCAGCGGGGGAGGGGCGGCGCATTCCCGGCGTTCCCGGGAGGGGCTCCCGGCTTCCAAACGCTTCCCAAAAAAAAAATAAATCGGGGATTAAGGATCCGACATCAAAGAGGCTCCGGGAGGAGCCAAAATTCCCCCTGGATTTCCTTCTTATCCCAGCCTGGAAAATTCCAATCCCGGAGCTTCCCGGCTCTTCCACGGCCGGGAGAAAGTTCTGGAATGGAGTTCCCAGGGCTGATCCCAATTCCTGATCCCAATTCCTGATCCCAGTTCTGATCCCAATTCCTGATCCCAATTCCTGATCCCAGTTCTGATCCCAATTCCTGATCCCAATTCCTGATCCCAATTCCTGATCCCAGTTCTGATCCCAATTCCTGATCCCAATTCCTGATCCCAATTCCTGATCCCAGTTCTGATCCCAATTCCTGATCCCAATTCCTGATCCCAATTCCTGATCCCAGTTCTGATCCCAATTCCTGATCCCAATTCCTGATCCCAATTCCTGATCCCAATTCCTGATCCCAATTCCTGATCCCAGTTCTGATCCCAGTTCTGATCCCAGTTCTGATCCCAATTCCTGATCCCAGTTCTGATCCCAATTCCTGATCCCAATTCCTGATCCCAATTCCTGATCCCAATTCCTGATCCCAGTTCTGATCCCAGTTCTGATCCCAATTCCTGATCCCAATTCCTGATCCCAATTCCTGATCCCAATTCCTGATCCCAATTCCTGATCCCAGTTCTGATCCCAGTTCTGATCCCAGTTCTGATCCCAATTCCTGATCCCAATTCCTGATCCCAGTTCTGATCCCAGTTCTGATCCCAATTCCTGGGACTGATCCCAGTTCCTGATCCAAATCCCAGTTCTGATCCCAATTCCTGATCCCAGTTCTGATCCCAGTTCTGATCCCAATTCCTGATCCCAATTCCTGATCCCAATTCCTGATCCCAGTTCTGATCCCAGTTCTGATCCCAATTCCTGGGACTGATCCCAGTTCCTGATCCCAATCCCAGTTCTGATCCCAATTCCCAGGGCCAATCCCAATCTCTCCCACATTCCTCCCCATTTCCCATTTCCTGTTGATTTCCACACCCCAAACCCCAAATCCCAGATCCCAGATCCCAAATCCCAGATTCCCAATCCTCATTCCCAGTTATTCCCATTATTCCCAGTCTCGTCCCCCACACTGGGGAAGCCGCACAAGTGCAGCTCCTGCTGGGATATCCCAGATACCAAACCCCAAATCCCAGATCCCAAATCCCAAACCCCAGATCCCAGATCCCAGATCCCAAACCCCAGATCCCAAACCCCAATTCCCATTCCCATTCCCAATCCCAGATCCCAAACCCCAGATTCCCAATCCTCATTCCCAGTTATTCCCATTATTCCCAGTCTCGTCCCCCACGCTGGGGAAGCCGCACAAGTGCAGCTTCTGCTGGGATATCCCAGATCCCAAACCCCAAATCCCAGATCCCAAACCCCAATTCCCATTCCCAATCCCAGATCCCAAATCCCAGATTCCCAATCCTCATTCCCAGTTATTCCCATTATTCCCAGTCTCGTCCCCCACGGTGGGGAAGCCGCACAAGTGCAGCTCCTGCTGGGATA